TCAAGGAGCCGAAGGTGCATTTACTCTGACTTCACTGGCACCAAATTCACTTCCTGCTGCTGTTAGTTCAATTTCTTGGCCTGCTGGTGCAAATGTTTCCAATCTACCAAGTTCACCATCGTCTAAACATTCAGTATTTCCTGAGGAGAAGAATGAGTTCTCCCACCATGGAACACCAGAAAGTCACATAGAGGCTGAACCCTCGAATCAAATGCTAGGAGGCAGGGTGTCCAGGAAGGAAGAATTCACTCCTCCGCAGAACGGTTTTCTGCATGCAGAAGGCACACGTAAGTCCAGAACAGGGAGTGTCTCAAGAGAAGAGAGCGCAGGGACACCTACGTCCCATGGTTCATGCCAAGGAAGTCCTTGCGCTGGAAATGAATTCTCCCCTCAGAACGAGCTGGTTAATTCACCAGCACTTGAGTCGTGCATGAAAGTGGGAGGCTCTCTGGAAGCAGCTCGTCAGACCACAACAGAAATCAACTTATCTTCTGCATTCCTAATGCCTCGGCCTATTATTCCAAAACACACCCAGGAACCATTTGGAGGAATGCTATTTGGGGATGCAGGCAGCTCTCACGATCTGAGAAATCTTTGTTCACCTAGAGACACTCTGGTTGATGAACGTGTCCCGGACTACAATTTGACGAACCCACCTTTTTCTGATGCAACTGCCAAGGACCCCGTTTATGTTCCCCCTGACGCGATACAACAATATTCTGCCTGGCCTGAAGAAACATCCGTTACAATAAAAGCAACATATAAGGAAGACATCATAAGATTTCGGCTTTGTTTAAATTCTGGTACAGTTAAGTTGAAGGAAGAAGTAGCAAAGAGGCTTAAATTAGAGCTTGGCACTATCGACATCAAGTATCTAGACGATGATCTTGAGTTAGTTCCTATTTCTTGTGATGCTGATTTGCAGGAATGTGTCGATATCTCAAGATCATCGGGCAGCAGTATTGTGAGGTTGTTGATTCATGATATTATGTCCAACCTAGGGAGCTCCTGTGAGAGCTCAGGTAAATGATAAAGGAATTAGGCTGTAAATACATAAAAACTAGTGAAGTAATTATTGTAATACTAGGATGTGTAAATTTTGATTGACAGGTTCTCTGTAATTGTAACAAATTTCCAATTGTATCAAGCCTGAGGTAATATATTGTGTTTTCTTGTTTCTTTTGCTTCAGAACAAGTTCATTACTTAAAATTTCCTCCTTTTTTTTTCCTTCTATAAACCTAGTTTCCGGTCAATTTGCACCCACCTCAATAAAATTTTACGTTATACCCGCTATGTCTTTCTCTTTTGGTAGTATGTACTGATGATTTTGATGGAATACGTACTATCCTATCTCTTTGAGTAGTATATCGTGATGAATTTATGAAATATGTGCTATCAGAACTTGATAAAGTTCAATCTTTCTATTCCATATTCGTTGTAACTAGTATTTGAGTGTTTTTGCTTGAGTTGTACGAGATGAAAGTCTCATATATGGTTCTCAGAGGGGGAGTTTCATCTATTCCACTAATGTATATGATTAGTTCGGAGAACGATTGGTCTAAAACTACTTTTTTATAAACAAGAAAAGAAAGGACGAGAAATCCATCCCATTTGACTTAAGTTTTCACCTAAACTTGGATTGTATCACACCTCAATAATTCATATTAATATATATGAAACTGAAAGGCAACTTGTTAAACTAATTCATCTAATATAATTTGACAATATAGATGTATTTTTATCAAAGTATTTTAAGCTACGTATTAAACAATACAACAACAACCACATATCCCATGCATATTAAACAACACTATTATCATAAATAAAAAAATATGAGCATGTTAGATACTTCATTAAAAATTTATAGAGCATGCTTCTAAGTTCTAGGTGTAAATTTTAATTAGTCGGACTCAAAAAAGTACAAACACAGGGGGTGTGAAAAAACAAAAAAAGAAAAGAAAAAAAATCAAATATAATAGAAACAACTACAACTCTCCGTATTATCATATTTGCTAGTCAACTTGTTAAAATATTTCATTAAACATAATTTAACAATTATATAGATGTATTTTGATAAGTAATTACAGAGAAAACAATATTATTATCATAACTGTATCACTACAAAAAAAAGACTATGTTAGATGTTAACATTTTAATAAAGATCTTATATTATTTTTTGTCTCAATATAGTAGATTATGTAGTCCGTGAAATTAGTTGAGTTATGTTTAAGTTGATCCAACTATTAAAAATCTTACGGAAAATATTTCATCACAAATATTTATAGAGAATTTTCATAGCTTGAAACATGTCAGAGACTGTCCTAAAGGATATTTCACCCGATATCTATATATTTCCCAAAATTCAATAAGTTTTTCTAGTATAACAGACAAAGGTTCAATATAAATCAAACACAAGAATATTGGAGAAAGAATATTCACTTTCTCCCTTCCCTCACCAAAGAAATGGACAGGCATTTATAGATTAAAAAAAAAAAGACAAAATAAGAGTTGCTTATGGCTGAACTTTTCAACGGTCATTGATAAAAATGAATTTAATAATGTCGAAAGAATTAAGATATTGTAATGGCTATTCAAATGGTCATTTAGAGAGGAATTAAAGATGATTAATGACTAATCAATAAAGATATTTAACCACAATAAATGTATTAAAAACTACTTAATAAAGAATGAACCTAGACACAAGTGTAAATACTTCCTTTTGAATACATTATTTTTCCAATAATATCATAGTTATCACAATATTTTGGCATAATACATAAATATACAATTAAAATTGTTCTTAACTGACAAGCATATATATCCAACTTTAAAATACATATCTAGACCATCTATAACTAAACATTCCAACTCGTTTTCATAGTGTCACATGTACACCCAATACTCACGTGGTACATAAATTTTAAAGATATTTAAATGATCATTTTATAAATTTGAGTGTTTAACTAATACAATAAAAAAAATACAAATTGAGATCTCTAATTTGCAATACTCTTTTTAGAGTGATCTTTCTCAAATTCGAAACGAAAAAAAAAACTTAATTTAAAGCAAAATTCGCACGATAACTTCTCATAATTCGTTCATTTTCAACCTGTGCTGGAGTAGGGCGGATGTAACTAAGTGGTCCTCCTCTTACCTTACAAGAGAAAGCTCCAAGTCCAAGGATTAAATTATTAATTATTTATAAAGATAAAGCTTTTTTTTTTCTTCAAAATTTATAGAAAAATAATTTCAATTCTTATTTGGCAACTATACACTAGTACACCATTGGCTTACCAAAAATTGACCATATATTATACTATATATACACACGTAACTGATAATCATCGCCATTTTTTCGGAGCAACCCACCTTCCAGATCTCTGATTAAGGTACGATTTTGATAAATTTATTTAAATTTAGATGCAAAGTAAGTTATTTGATTTGGAGTTTTGAAATTTTTACAGTTTTTTTGTTAAAATTGATGTTTGTTTAACTCAGTTAATATCGATTTTATGGCCAGAATATGTATGTTTTTGATTTCTGATATATGGGTCATGAAGAAATGAAACTTTTACAACAACTTAACCAGTAAAAATTTTACGAAGTGGAGTCTTTCTCGAGTACAGTTTTCCAAAAAAATCGAACTTCAATATTTATTGGAGAAATTTTGTCTCTTCCTATTTTTTTTCTATAGAATAGTGTATTTATTGGTGTTTCGTGCGGTCATAAAAATAATTTATAAAAATATTAATATCCTGACAATTAGTTTAAGTAGGATCAGTTCTATTACAATTTTTTTTTTTAATTTTCCATTTAGATATTCGACTAAATTCGAATTCGTGTAGGAAAGTCCCACCTTAGGGGTAAAGTGCTCCCTAACAAAGGTGACTCTATACCCAGGAAACTCGAACCAAAATCTCTTGATTAAAGAATAAGGAGTACTTACTACTCCACCACGACCCTTATAGGTCTCTTACAAAATATATAATTATGCTGTGAATATTCTTTGTCCATTATTTGGTTCAACGTATTAAGGACAGTATTTTTTTTAAATATATAATGCTAATATAACGATTTGCTATTTGTTATTTATAGACTTATAGTACCTAACAGAGTAAAAGACATCGCTTAGCATTATGTTAGGAACGTTTAAGGAACAGAAAAAGATGTACTAAAAATGTGTGATTATTGAGTTTAAAAAAAAACATAATTACATAAACAAATGAATAAGAAAAAGTAAAATTGAAAAGAAAAAAAAGAAGATACATATAAGATGGTAGTAATTGATTTTGACTTGTTTTCTAAAACAATTGGAACTTTTGTAAAGCAATAAGTTGTAAAACTGAGCACTGTGAGGGAGTTGTGAAAATTGCAATTGCAATCACTTAGTTGTTCCTGTGTGAGAGTCCACTTAAATTGTCAGTCTCGCGCCTGGATAAATAAGGAGGATAGCATTAGGCTAACGATCGATGTAAAACTAGTCAATTCAGTCATTAGAAAATGTTGAAAACTGCTAATGTTAGAGAACCATGTCCAAAAGTATTGATTAGTAGAATGAAAACTTGTTCAGATGAAACAATATAGATAGTGAAGATCCATATAATCGACCACTACTAGCTTGTGATTGAGACATATTTGATGCTGTTGATTAGGATTGACTCAGAAGATTTGGTTATGTTAGATTTTAACCATTGCATATAAGAAATTGGTTATTGTAACAGCTTTGATCCACATTTTTGAAACGTTGTTTTTAGTCAACAAATTTTCTTATCAATGTTGGTTTGATGCACTTCTCGCGTTGATTGTGGTTGTATATTGAAGTTGTTTTAGTTCCAACTCTATTCGAATTCATTTAACTGCTTAATCTTTGCGCTCAATTGCTATGTGTTCTGTTTTTGCTGCTTCTGCCTGCAGGTATGTTAGTATAGTCAGATTTCTGTAACATGATATCTCGTGTTTTGACTTCGAATACTGAATAACTGTGTTACATTGCAGGAAATTCAACACAGTGTATCGTGTATGGCTAGCTTCAAGGCATTTTTGAACAGTCCTGTTGGCCCCAAAACAACTCATTTTTGGGGTCCCGTAGGCAACTGGGGATTTATCATTGCTGTACACTTATCTAGAATACATAATATTATAACATGATGTTCGTTTCTTTTGGTTGACATTGTACCTGAGTTATCTTTACGTACATTGCAGGGACTCGTAGACACACAGAAACCTCCAGAAATGATATCAGGCAACATGACATCAGGTATAGGGACTTTTCTGTTTAAACAGATACTGGCTTTAACGATTAATACATTTATCTTCTTTTTCTTTCTGATAATGCAGTAATGTGTGTGTATTCTGCACTGTTCATGCGATTTGCATGGATGGTACAGCCTCGTAATTATCTACTAATGGTATCCCATGCCTCGAATGAGACCGTGCAACTTTATCAGTTATCACGTTGGGCAAAGAGTCAAGGGTAAGCGATTACCCTAACTTTACTACTTTGTTTTGTGTGTACAGTTGCAATTTTACGAGGATATGTTTTGCAAATATATGCTACCAATCATTCATTTGTGTTTATGTTGGTTTCCCCATCGTACGTGCAGATATTTGCAGAAGAAAGCAGACAAAGCAGAATGATCAAGTGTTCTTTCCTGTTTAATTCTGGACATGTGTATAGTTTTGGTAATTTTCGATATCTCTATTTGCACAGATTATTGTCCTTGATCATCCAAGAGCTGAACTAGGAGCTCAAATTATTACATATGCTACAGTAAATAGCATAATTTGAATGGCAAGAAATGTTAGTATGGAAGAATTTAATATATTTGTGATTTCACCCAGCGCAAGGTCCATTTCTTATCATATTATCAGTCATACTCATCTCTGTTCTAGGCTTACTCGATGTTGAGCATCCATATTATATTGTTCATGCTTCAAATATCCAGTCTTGGGGCGAGGGTACTGAGAGCCCTACATTAGGGTGTGGGATGAGATTGTTTTCTCTTTATATTGTCTTGAGTAATACTAGCTCGTGAACTATTTGGGGTTAAGTTAGACCCAAGGTTCATTTGACTTTTAGCTTTCATGTGCACCACTAAGTCTAAATCAAGATAAAGGAACAAAGATATGATCTGTAAGCACAGTAGCAGTAGGTGAAGGCTGTTGCTTCTATTTGTTGTTATTTCTTGTCTTTGTTCCTATACTGAAGAGGGGCGCAGGGTTGGGATGGGGTGGGCGCTACGAAAGGAAAATGGGCCCATCGACGTTGAGCTAATGACTCAAAATCATTAGAATATGGGCCTTCCAAACATTAAGTTAAACACTAGCCTCGTTGCTCGCCTTTTGGGCCGCTCCAGAGACTGTCTTCTCAACCAGGTCCAGTTTTCCTTGAGTTTGTCTTTCTGTTATCTGTCTCCCAGTATACTTGTAATAGGTGGCATAAAGCATTAGTTGTGCTAGCCCCAGCATTGCTCCCATCACATTTGCTGTCTGAAATAAAGAAGTGAAAAATTTAGAGCAATCAAGAAGAGTTTAACTTAACTTATATACGTTGACAGTAAGTGAAAAATACTCACAAGAAGGTAGAAGTCGACACGGACGATGGCATAAGCAGTCCAACTTATGCTGCATAGAAAGGAGAAAAAGGAAAGATAGAAGGGCATGTACTCCACACTCTTGGTTTGTATCACCAATTTCTACAATAGTAAAAAGTATCAGAAGTTCTCTATATATTCTACTAACATGTAAATCTCACACATATGCTAAGGCCGGAGCTAAGAGGGATGCAAAGGGGACCAATCTGAAACTCCGGCCCTTCGCTGGAAAATTACACAGTATATATATATATACAAAGTCAATTTATTTTTGTTGAATTAATTTAGTGAACATTCTAGAAAAACATGATGTAAAAAAGGAAATTATATATTTACCATGATGGTCAAAGGAGAAGCATACATCGAAATATTTGCCACCATGCAAATAGTACCAACAATTGTGGTTCTTTGTTTGTGGCAATGGAGAAGAGTTGTGACAAGAATGGCAAGTGAACCAATGAACACAATTTCACTTAAGATGATGAAGAAAATTTTCATCCTTTTTTCCTTTTTAGAGTACAACATAAATAGCATCAAGTACACCATGTCAATGGCAAGTCCAATTCCATTAATGGTCATGATAAGAAGGCTTCCTTGTTGTTGAATCCATGGAAGCCCATATAAAAGCCAAAGGCCACAGTTTAGGAATGCAACAATGTATGGAAATGCTGAGAATTTCTCCACTGATTTCTTCTTCCACATATGAATAAATGTAGGCCTAAAAAAAAGTTTAAGAAGTTAATGAGCAAGAGGTGAACAAGTTTAGATTAATTACTTCCTCCTCCGTCCCATTTTATGTGGCACTTTTCAGATTTCGAGATTCAAACAAGTCTATCTTTGACTGATTTTTATTTATAGATATTTAGACATTTTGAATTATCAATTATTGTGACTTATAATACTTTTTACTTAGTTTACAAATATATAAATTTCATTTTTAAAAAAGTTGAAAATTCCATGCGCAAATTCCCGATCAAACTTAAACTGTTTGACTCTCGAAAAACGAAAAATATCACATAAATTGGGACAGAGGGAGTACTAATTTGCTTATTTCACTTGGATATTAAGTAAATTTAACAACTACTATGCTTCGGTCCCAAACGAGTGATTTGTCATTGACTATAAGTAACAAGACAATAACAACAAATATAATGTAATGCCACAGAGTGGAATCTGGAGAGGGTAAAGTGTATGCGGATTTTAAGGTAGAATATAAGTAAACAAGACATGACGAAAAAAGTTCAAGCCATATACACACACATCCTTTAAATTATCTTGAGAACTCAATAAATGGAGAAACATGTATATAGCTTGCTTACAAGGGTGACAGCAACAAGATGAATGCATTGATGCTTCCTGAAATAAATATATCAAAATTCATATCAACAAAACATAGTGAGAAAAAAATTCAGCAAGTGAGTGTATTTGTGTGTATAATTGTTTTTGATAGGGGATGAAAGCTATGTTGCTCTAATTCTTCAAAATCGCCAGTGGGCACGTGCGTCGTGCCGTTCCGAATCTTCTAAAATGCACTTGTCGGATCCTTTAAAATTAGTGCATTTTTAGAGGATTCGACATAGGTAACACTATATTTTTGAAAAGTTCAAGCAATAAAGATAGAAAGTGACTCCAAGAAACTTTTTTTTTTCATCACCCAACAAACTTAAGAAATAGAGGAAACTAACCAAAAAGACCAAAAGCAACATGAGCATGCTCTCTATCTAAAACCATGTCAATGAAGAAAAAGAGAGGAACAAATGCTAAATTGGGAGGAGGGTGTGGGGAAATGGAAAAAAAAACACCAAATAAATTGAGGAAAAGAGAATTAATTATTTTTTGCATGTATTATAGTTAGTCAAAGATAAAACTACTCATCAATTAATTATTATTATTATTATTTTTGCTTACACTAAATTCGAAGCCAAACTTTTGTTTTCATTCTGGATTGAGGTTACCCTCCAATATTTTGAAGTCAAAGTATTCACATTTACTCGTTTATTTTGGATTTTGCAATCCTTATTAAAGAACAATAATTAATATGTATTTTATTAAAACACTTATGCAATTTTAAATCACGAGAAATTATTTAGAGATGTTAAAAGTAAAATAGAAACAAGATATTATTATTGTTTTGTTAAAAATAACAAAGAAAGTAAAAAATATTTTTGAAATACATTAAAATAAGAGAAAAAACATAAAATGACATCTGAAGTTGTCCTAAATTTTCAAAAAGACACTTAAAGTTTGTGGGCATCCTATTATCCCATTTAACTATTTCAAATCACAATAAATAAACACTTTTAATCCATTTTCACAATAGTTGTGTTCTCACATATGATAGGCGCGTGGAGGAGTAAAAATACACCCCAAACCAGTGTAAAAATATCATGTGGCACTGACAATTTGAATTTCTTCTTTACTAAAAGACCTACTTTCCATCTTCTCCAAAACTTCCATTGATGGATGTAGAAGAGCTTTCCATCTACAACAAAAAAAAAATTATTCCCCATCCTCAATGAAATTATCATCTAGCTTTACTAGCTTTAATTTCTTCCTTTTATTTTATTTAAAAGTTATGAAATCAACTAATTTGTAAATGTTGAAAGTGCAATAGCAAACAAATTTCAAAACTAAATCAGTGAAGAAACACTCAAACTCAAATCAGTCCTAAACTAACACTACATACACATGAATAATAGATAACACAAAAAGAAAATAACAACAAATCACTACTATATAAAAAGAACATTTTTTAACCAAAAATTGCATTCAAATCAAGAAACAATTAACATGCGAGCCTTCACTTTTTTGTTTTGACTCCATAATTCAAGAAATTATCTCTGCAAAATAAATTTATTGTGACTATTGACATGCTTTAGGATTTTGATCATCAAAGAGAGAGAGTGGAGTAAAAATCTAAAAGGGATTTAGGGCTAAATGGAGTGGGTCATGATTAAAATGTGAATGGGTCAAGATTTTATTCAATTTTTACTAAATATATTGGAAAAATTATGTAATTATATTATTAATTGGGTGAGATTCACGCTCAAGCACTGAAAATGCAGATTGTGTAAAAAGTGTGTATTTATTGTGATTTTGAAATATTTTGTGGAGTAATAAGATGACCACAAAATTAAAATGTCTTTTTAAAAATTTGAAACAACTTTATGTGTCATTTTATATTTTTTCTCTTAAAATAAATAAAAGTGAATGAAGGGAGTAATTTTTTCAGAAGTTTGTTTTGATTTTGGAGTATTCTATTTCATTGGAATTTGTATTCTTCACATCACCCAATAATTAGCAAAATCTTTTTGTCCCACAATAATACTATATTCGTCAGCTTTTAATTATCACAATTTTCCTTTTTAGAGTTAAAGGATAGTAATAATTTTAATTAATATTTTACAATGTATTTTTTCATCATATTGATACACAAATTTGGAATTTATAATATTTTTCGTATAGTTTTTGAATATCAAAATTTTCTATTTAAAATATTGAATTAATGTAATCGAATGTAACTTTGAAAATTACTCAAAATGACTTTTGAAAAGTGTAACATGACAATTAAAAGTGGACAGAGGAAGTATTATCTAAGAAATTCAACACAAGAAATGATAATTTCATTCTTTTATTTTTATTGTCACATATTCTATTTTACTAGAGTTAATTGGGTTAATTTTTATTTAAATTAAATTAATTTAATATATTTAAATTTTAAATTTGAATAATTGAAAACTACGTGAAACATACCTGCAAGTTATATATTTTTTTAATATTAGTATCATGAAAAAAATACAACTTAATATTAATCAAAATAAATATAATTTGGCTTTCAAAAATCACAAGAAATAAGTAAAAGTAATCTGAGGGAGTAACAAAGGAGTACGAACAACTTTATTCAACTTGTTAATAAGTTAAAACCAACACTACAGAAAAATCTCGCATGCAACTAAGGAAGTAACTGATCAGATGTAACCGCCATTGACACGAATAATCTGTCCATTCACCCATTCAGAAGCATCGCCGGCCAAAAATCCGACGATCGGAGCAACATCCTCCGACTGACCAAGTCTTCCATGTGGACACTCATCAATCACCTTCTTCACTTTCTCTTCCGTTGCTCCATTGAAAAACATATCCGTCGCTATCGGTCCCGGCGCCACACAATTCGCCGTTATTCCTGTTCCTTTTAGTTCCTTCGCCAGTATTTTCACCATTGCTTCCACCGCCGCCTTCGACGCCGTGTACGCACCGTTCCCAGCCCGAAACGACGCTGTCGCAGATGACGTCACACATATAATCCTTCCTCCGCCACCGCCGCGGCGTTTGATCATTCTGTTCGCAGCTTCCTTACAGCATAAAAAGGATCCACGAGTATTCACGCTAAAAGTCAAATCGAAATCGTTGAGATCTGTATTCATGATCGTTGGACGCTTTTCGTCACACACGGCGGCGGAGTTCACTAAGATGTTGACCGGAGATTGAAAAGCTGATTCAGCTGCGTCAAATAGGGATTTCACTGAGTCTGGATCTGAGATATCAGCTTTAACGGCGACAGCAGATACGGCGGAATTATTCATGGATTTATTAGAATTGATTTGAGATACGACGTCGTCGGCTAGAGTAGTGGAGTTTGAGGAGGAATAGTTGATGATGAGCTTAGCACCGAGAGAAGCTAAATGAAGTGCAATCGCTTTTCCGATGCCGCGAGAAGATCCGGTAACGATAGCTACCCGATTTTCGAGCGGCAATTTTTGAGCAGGTACGTTTTCGTTTGATTCCGCCATGAATGAAGAAATTAAAGCTTTGAAATTACTGCCACTAAGGAAGATAAATCAATCGAACCAAGTCGATGATATATAAAAATCGATGATTAAAAATTCTTTGTTCATCGGGAAGATAATTTATCCTTTTTCAATTTAATTATTTAAAGAAATGCAAATCTTATGATTTGTTTAACAATATCATATGATTTGAAATCCCAACATTACCTTACAACTTGTTTTAAAAATAATCACATACTATTTATACAACATTTTTATATTAGTTCTTCCTCTTACTCTATTTTTGGAATTTTTGACCAAAAACACTCCTAAACTATATCCTTAATTTAAATTTTTTATCAAATAATTAATGAATTTTACACAAAAATATGTGCAGGTCACATTGCTCTCCATAAAAAATTTCCCATATAATTTCATTATTGGTTGGAAAAAGCACTCTTATTTGCTAAAAAGAAATTAAGTTAAAATGGTGTTGCAAAGAGACATGATCTGCTCTTCTCCTCCTTTACCAACTTAACGAAGTTGAAGCTTTATTTCATATCATTTTCACCTTCTGTAAAGACAAAATGTAAGTAGATTAATAACTATTTGGGGCATTTGATATTTGAAGTAATCAAGATTCTGAATTTCATAGATGGCACTCGAATTTTGTTCTCCATTATTAAAAGTAAAAGTCTCAGGTGACCACCATTTCTTGCAGTTTCAATGAGAAAAAAAATATTTCAACTGATAACTTTTTAATAACAAATCAAATGAAAAATAAATTAAAACAAAGTTGCTAATAAAAGGATCTGCATAATGCCAAGTGTTGTTGTAAAAAAGAATGCACAATATTTTAGATGTATCACGGAATGAAAAGATTTTTTAATCTTTGATGATTTAGGGAGTTTTGCCGAGAGTAATATGAATTACACATATTTTTGTAGGAATTCCATTAATTTTTTGTCAAATTTTAACAAAAGGATGGAAGTTGTTAAAGTTTAAAATACTTGAAGGATGTTTTTTTGTTAAGAAGAATAATTTAATTGTGTAATTTAAGTTAGGAGTAGTTAAAGGATGTTTTTAGCCAAAAACTTCTACTTTTATTATAAGTTTATCATTCAAAATGTATGACATTACGTAATAATGGAGAATAATACAATCTATTCGAACACTATATTTAGTGAAACAATACATTGCAATTTGCAATACACCACAGTTCACATTACAATACATTATGATGACCATCCAAATTCCAAATAAAGTGTGAAAAAAAACAACAATCACATATGATTAATAATATCGTAAAACTCGAATGAATACCAATTCATGTAATAATTTCAATAAATCCAAACTTATTTTATTTACATACTCTTCCTATGAAATTATCTAAATTTCTCTGTGATGATCCTTCAGCTCTTAATGAATTATTCTCTAACGTTTTCTTCACTTCCTTAATTGCATTTCTACACTCATCACTCAATTTTCCGTACATAAAATTGTGTATTTTCTCTGAAATTTCAACCTTAGTAATTGGATTTTTATCGCACAAATTAAGTCCGATCTTCCAATCATCGACTACTAATTTTCGATTAGTGAATTGATCATTGAGCAGAGGGAAACAAAACAATGGAACTTCACACCAAATGGCTTCCAGGATTGAGTTTCAGCCGCAATGAATCAAGAATCCTCCGATTGCTGAGTGAGTCAACACTCATTTTTCAAAACAGACCACAAATTTCTCCTTCAAAATCTTTAGGTAACCAGTTTGGGTCATCGGAAGTTACAATATCAGGTCGGAGCACCAAAATAAAACTAAACTTTACTTAATGACAAACCATAAGCTATCTCTACAAGGTCAATTTTGGTAATATGGGAATAGCTACCAAATGAGAGTCCGAGCCAAAAGGGCAAAAAAAAATTTGTCAAAAATTTCAAAAGGGCACATCAATTTTTTTTAACCAAAAGGGTAAAATCACTCCTGAGGGAATGATATTCTTCGAAGAAAATTAACTCCATCTACTCCGTTAAAATAAACAAAAATCGTTGCACCAGCAGCGATTTTGTCGATTTTTTTTTAATTGTTTTTATCTTAAAATCGCTGCTAAGGCAGCGAATTTGTCAAATTTGTTTTTTTAAAAAAATAAATCGCTGCACTGGCAGCGATTTTGTCAAATTTTAATTATTTTTTTTAAATGGCTGCTTCAGCAGCCTTTTTTTTATAAAAAAAAAATTTAATATCGCTGCAATAGCAGCGATTCTCTTTTAATTTTTTTTTTTCTTTTTAATTTTTTTCCAAAACTTCTTTTAAGAAAAAAGTTTAAAGACAACGCTTTGGAAAAATAAAAGTTTTGGAATAAAACACTGCTCAACAGCTATTTTAAAAAAAATTGATGTGCCCTTTTGGAATTTTTGACAATTTTTTTTGCCCTTTTGGCTCCGGACTCTACCAAATGACATGTACAAGACGGTTGCATGTTGTTCTAAGTCAAGCCGGTGGGTGCAGTCGGACTCGAACCACATACTAGTAGTCACACCGCTCTTGTAGAGCTGATATAGTCTCATATTCGGCTCTAGAATAGTGTTACATAAGATGAAATCAGCATTTCTTACATCATTAAATGCATTGAAAATAATTTGATGACACATTGAGGTTGTGTGTGTTTCTTGAAGATATGACATTAGGTCCTTTGGCTTTATTGATTGGACTCCATGGTATGTAGTCAATAGGATCTTCACGCATATCTGACCACAAATCAAACAATAAACATGAGCCAAAATTAAAAATAAATAAACGCAAAAGGGTCAAAATTATCTTTAAACTATTCGAAATAGATTAAATATACCCTTAAACTAGTCATGTAACTTCAAGAGATGAAGATGATAATAAAGGGTAAAAACCAAAGCTGGTTCTGTCCAAAAAGATATGTATAAAAGTCCATATTTCTTAGCCAATTTTCCTGGAAACACAAAGAAAGAATCAGCAATCAAACAGGTCACTAGAGGATCTAATTTTGACTCTATAATTTTCACCAAAGCTTCTTCAACATGAGTTGAGAACACATGTAATAAAGAAGCCATGAATTGGTCATGGTTCAATGACCTGTTAAAATTTACCGGTTGCCCATCAGACACCGTCATATAACGTATATCTAGGTCTTGATAACCTTGAACACTATAAAATATGTAGATAGTACTATTCTTTCGAGTGATCTGATAGTGTGTGGACTCGATATTGATGAAGGTGATAGTGAAGCCTTTTTGTGCAAGCTTGATTGCTAGATGGATTGTGAAATGGTGCAAAGTATCATGATATACTTGGGGTAGCTAGAAATTTCATTAAAATAATAATATACTATGTGTAATCTCATAAGTAGAATTGAAGAAGGATAGGAGAGAGTAAGATAAGAATACAAAGCATGGTAGCAAGTAAGGGTGTAATGGACGGGTTGATTTGGGTTTTTCAAATATCAAACTAAACCATTTATGTCGGATTTTTAAATCTATAAACTAAATCAAATTGATAAAATTCGAATTTTTCAACCTTGGGTTTTTTCTGGTTTTTCCGATAAGTATTCATACAAACATATAATTAATTTGTGCTTCAAATATTTCTTTAGTCCTACCAAAATACAACTATCAAAGGTGTTTATTAAGAAAATAACACAAAACATGAGATGAGTGATGACACTAAAATACTGATCAACAAAAAATAATAATGAAAGTGCATAAAACAAATCTTGAAAATTAATAAGTTATAATGAAAATGATCATAATTTAAAAGTACTAAATCATGCTAAAATAAGTCTAATAAGAGTATTAATTACATGACTAAATATTAAAGAAAAATTAAAATTAGATTATGTATTTTAATTGTCTAAACCAATGTAAAACTAAATAACAAATATTCAACATTATTATTGTTATTCTTAATGTTGAACTGATTTTTTTTGTTAGCATTAGTATGAATTTGATTTTGATTTGAGCGTTTTAGAATTACTAACATTATATGGACTATAACCTTCATTGGACCATTCAAAATCCTAAGTTTGTATTAAGAAATTATATCCAAGTAATATTATTATATAATATAAAATAAAATTTTAAAATTATGTACATAGTGTCAGATTGGTTGGGTCTCGGGTTGATTTTTTAGTTAAGACCAACCCAATCCAACCGAAGTATAATCTGATTTGACTCTTTTGCAGTTTAATTTAATTTTCGATTCGATTTTATACCCCTCAATAATAACAAAATATAGTACCAAAATGTAAAGCAATTGAAGTAACATGTATTCAACATGTAGCAAAATACAGATAGAAGAAAATGAATAACACGATTAGCAAATAATACGTACTATTAATAAGAAACAGCGTAGAGAAAGCTATCCCCTGCCTCTCTCACACAATGAGACAACACTTTGCGATATAATTTTTTGTGAAATATAATTTTCCAACAAAGGATATTCAATTTTCTATCTTTTAGGCTAATGTGGCTCTGCTGCTACTCCTAAATTTATTAAAATTTCCCTTCTTCCTTTTATCATTTGGACAGAAATGTTGTCACCAAATGACATAATACCCATATCAGCTATACTATAAGACATTTTCTCTAACATCAGATCTTTGTAATTTACTTCCATAGATAAACATTAATTGATTTTGTTGAAACTGAAAGTAAAATTTGGAGGAAAAAATGACAACAGAAATATCTTCAAATTACAAACTGATAAACAAAGATGAATGACAATTCAAAAGGACAACAACCAATAGGCTTCACCAGATTATAATGATATTAGCTTAGCTCCTATACATACCTCTACAATGTTACAGAAATATTTTTGCTAGATAGAATCAACTTCTGAACCCAAAGGCAGACCACTTCTTTGATGAAGTCTCCTTCTTCGTCGTCCTTTTAGAGGTTGGATCAATAAGATTTTCTAAGGATTTTGGGTTTTTGTTCCGAGATCTGCCTGCTTCTTTCAATAATTCAGCCAGCCTCTTTTTCTCATCGTTGAAATCAGGATTTGCAGTTCCAAGTTTTTCTTCTCTCAGTTTAAGAACGTACTCCAGAATCTCAATAGCATCATCCACTCTGTATGTTAACATAACATGTCAGAACAACCTTCACATAAAAAATAAGCTTTGAAAGGTATATAGAGGCCACCAAACCAGTAATGGCTATTCTCTAATGACGGTAGAGAGGTCATTTTCATTAGTGGAATAGAAGTAGAGCAACATATCGGTCTATCCTACCACAAATGTAACCTCTAAGCACTCCATGCATATGGATTCGGTACATGAGCGCATGACAGTTCATAATGTATAATAAACCACAAAATAAATGTAAGATACTTGTAATATATTGCTACTAATTCTTAGTCTAACAAGTTGGCATTGCCTACACCGGTTCTTTGTTTCATCTAGAGATGTAAAAGAAAATGCTCAAATATTAATATTACCTTCCAATAGCATCATAAGTGGCGGCAAGATTGCTATAAACACCAAGGGTATCTTGATGACAATGGCCACACTCCTGTTCCAGAATTTCTCTAGCTTCTTCGAATAACTCAGCAGCCTCATCTATTTTAAACAATTGTACAGAAGACAACCCCATCTGATTTAAAACAACTCCGAAGAAAGCTGATTTCCTCTCACCACTGGCTCTAAGTTTTGTTACTGCATTTTCATAGGAACTCCGTGCCTCTTCATATCTCCCGACCATATAAAACATAACACCCATCCGTGCTTCTATGCCAGCAATGGTACTTTGCTGTCCTGGTTTATCCTCTAAGAGTTTCATTGCCTTGAGCAGCAGTTTCAGGGCCTCCTCAGGTTCATTAAATAACTCATATATTGCTGAAATTTCCATCAATCCACTGGCAATATCTTCAGGGGTTGTTCCAGGTACAGGTTTTGCGTATATTCTTAGGGCATTCTCACAATAGGATCTGGATTCCCTCAGTTTTCCTGTCTTGTAGTATAGGTCAGCCAGCCTTACATAGACAGATGCAACTGAAGGATGGTTGTCACCCTTAGATGATTTGAAAACAGTGAGTGCTTTCTGATAGGAGAAGACGGCCTCATCAAAACGAGACAACGACAAGTAGATGTTCCCTATTCCAACATCAATAGTTGCGACCTCAGTTTCCTGTCCATTGGCAATCATAGCCATGTTGGCAAGTACAAGGTGCTCAAGGGCTAACTCATAATCGCCTTTAGCCTCACATATTAGAGCCATCAAACGACGATCAGCTGCCTCTTCAAGAGAAGCTGGAGGACTGTGCACACGATGGATTTCCAGTGTTTTCTTGCACAAACTCTCGGCCTCATCAAACTGCATTGCCTGAACGTGGGCCTCAGCCAAGTACCTACAATTCCAGTTTAGCTGTCTGTGTCAGAATAATTATAGCCAAGAAAACACATCGCCATCTTGAAATCAAATGATTATCAAAGGCTTATTGACCTCAATCAGAAGCATCTGTTAACTAAGTTTTACAATGAGTTCATCTGCCTTGCAGTAAAATGTTTTTGTCTATCCAATTCGATTATTGAGAAATACGAGCTACAATATTTGGAAATATACAAGTAACAATAGGTTTATCCCGTCTTCAAATGCCAGAACCACTTCTACAGATAAACATATAACATAAGAACTAAAACACTAAAAATGCAAAATTTGCGAAGACTTCAAATGCTAGGAGCAATGAGATAAGATACATTACCTACAAGTCTCTGCGACTCTAGGATCTGTGTCTCCCAATGCTTCCATCTGTGTTTTCAACCCTTCCTTGTAAGACTCGATCGACCGATCCAACTGTCCTAGCATAGAATACGTATCACCAAGCTGCATATACCCTGAGAAGGCCGCAAGAGCATGATCCGCACCTCTTGAAACCTCCGGCACCTTAATCGCCGTTTCTAGCACCGGAATAGCCTCATCAAATCTCACCAAACTACAATATATAGCTGCCACAACGTGCAGACTCATAGCTAGATCCAAACTCGGCTCACCGTCAACCGCGCACCTCTCAAACGACTTCGCAGCTCGTAAAGCATAGTCCAGTGCTTTGTTCGGTCCTTCGCCGGAGGCAATGGTGTCACGCGCTAGCTTTAACAGGAACGGTCCTAGATCCGGATTGTCAAGAGATGACTCGTCGATTTCAACCTTCTCCGGCGGGGATTTCTTCTTTCCGGAGCTCCGATCCGGAGATGGCTTCGCCCGTGAAGTTGACGGTGATGGAGGTCGTCGTGGCGCAGGTGAGTTTGTTTTCGGGTTAACTTGTTCGGATCTACTAGAACCCGGCCCGTTTCGGCCGTGGTTCTCATCGGAAACTGATATTCTCAATGCCGGAGTTTCCGGCGGAGTTTTGATTGAAACTAAACCCGGCATTGCAACAGCTCGAAAATGCAAAAAAATGAAAATCACAATCTTTGCTTAAGAAGTTAATTAATCTAAATTTGGCAGACTATAATCTGTTGTATTAAGCAGTGATTTTGTGATTAGTGAATAGTGAAGAGGTAATTAATGGGATAATTAAGGAGAGAAAATGAAATTTAGCTAACGTAAACCAACTGTTAAGAAAATTAAAACATTTGAGGTGAGGGAGAAGGCAAAGACTTTGAGTGGACTTAATACTGAAAAAATATTAGGCCAGCTCAGATTTGTGCCGTTGTAAAGTGGGCCCAATGTTGATGACGTGGATTCAATCTGAGCTGGAAGGTATCATTTTTTATTTGAGAAATTTTCATAAATATTTAGCTTAATTATTCAAAACGGATATATATATCAAATTAATAAATATGTGTAATATGTTAAATACATTTTAGATATGATTCTCTCTTTTGATTGTAGTTAGTTAATATATATATTTTTAATTATTTTTTAATCAAAGACAAATTGGTATAATTTTGGTGTAAATATGTATCTTGTACGAATGAATTTTTACCTATTATTATAAAGAAATCGAATGTTAAAATACTTATTTGCATCAAATTTAACTAACTTAAGTTAAACAATTTAAAATTAAAGTGAGGATAAATGTATGTGTGTAAGATAGTTATTTTGTATATTTATGGATCCTAAGTATAATGTATGTGTAAATTAGATATTATTTTAATTAATATTTTATCAATTGAGAAATTATATAAGAATACTTTATGGTTTCAATTTTTTTTTTAAAAAAAACTAATAATTGTATCTTTAAATATAATAAAATAAATAATTGACGAGCATAGTTTGGTGAAAGTATTATTGTAGGTTGTTACATGGCATAATGTTGTCTTAAATCATATAGTCGCTCCATGATTAGTATGATTAGACAAGTTTTAGCTTATGACTTTGATTGAAACAAATGCAAGCTATTGCAATAGTTGGGTTTTGTTATATTTATTGATTGAATAGATAAGACGGTTATCAATAAAGATTACGATAAAATGATAAATAGTTTTTAGTTCTTAAATTATAATTGTAAAATTGTTTTTCTATAGAACATTTATTCTAATATAAGATATTTTAGTTCAATTTATATTTAATCTGATTCTAATGAAATTTATAAATATAAATATTGGGTAAAAAGAACAAAAAGATTAAACGCGTAAAGATAGATGAGATATTTGTCCAAAACAACTTTGAATTTTTGGATTACTTTGGACACACTCTTAATTATGAGTATCATTTAGATTCTATAGAAACTATAGGATATAATTAGGTTACTTTTATTGGAATTAAATAACTTAAGATACCATTCTCACTGTCTTTTCTCTCTACACACATGTGCTGGATCATAATGATTTCTTTCAATTTGTTGAAGATTTTAGTTGATAAAAAAAATTAAGAGTTGCAACAACAATATGCTAATTAAACATTATATTTTTGTTCTTTTTTTCACATACGTCGAGGTTAAATATATTAATGAAATTTTGAATTAGTGAAAGTACCATTTCACTAATTTTCAGTAATTATATTAGTAGTTAAAGTTATATATAATGTAATAAGTAATAACTTAACTTACAAACAAATATTTTAAAATATCACAAGGTATGAATTTTTTTGATTTTTTTCCCGTATGTTTACCCTAGTATATTTTGAATTATTTTAGTGAAAAAATTAATTTCATCACGGGAACAATTAGGAAGTCATTTGATAGATAATAAAAAGACAACTTATAGAATATATGTCGAACATTTATTTAGAAGCACAATCAATTAAGATCAGAAGCGCATCGCTGGTAAATATTCGTTGGCATCTCTTTTTTGGGGATGGGCGTAAATGATGATGGACCTTAATTAGTTGCCAATTTTTGGGCCAACAAGTTGATAGCAACTTCATTCTCTTGCAACTTAAAAGTTTTCGTCTTAAATGTTGGGTTCCACTATCTCTTGTATTTGAAAACACTATGGCTTTTTATTTTACGCATCGATACTTTAAATTTCGAAATAATTTTAGATATATAGTGACTTTAAATTTTGTCACATATGATTGAACTAGAGGACATGTAACTTCACACGCCACAAATCTAAAATTGCTCCAAAGTGAATAGACGTACATTTTTACACACTACGAATATGACTTAAGCGATGGTCCCAAAATCGATATAGGTGAATGAGAATTTTATTTAAAATACATGTACTTATAAAGTTGAAATTGAAAAGTTATGTATAAGTGTGGTTACACTGGCATACTGCATCTGCCTTATAGCTGTCTGCATTTAGTTTACAAATTTTATGGTGCGTGGCTCCTATGCCACCACAAAATATTTGATTGAATTAAAATATAGATTTATGCCATTTTCTGAACCTTTTTGTATGATGTGATGTTATTCAAATATTACCAAACAAACATTAATTCATCCTAATTTAACAGTTTGTTGGAAGGGGAAATTAAATAGTTTCTAAAAGTTTTTTTTATTTGAAAAAACATGAGACAAAGTACTAGAAAGGATATATAAGAGCATGAGTTGTGTCATTTTTATAAGGTTAATCACTTAATTATAAGGATAAAATATAAAGGACATTCAAACTTGGCCTTAGATATCATGAAAATATTCTAACTTTGAGTATGTACGTCTAGATATCTTAACTCGTCTTCATTGTGTCAGTTTAAAACTCCAACTACAAAATTATTATTTAGACATTTTTAAATTATGTGCCACATTAGCATTGGATATCCATCAGACAACATAGAGACAAGTTAAAGTATTTATTATATCAATTAAGATCAAATTAAAATATCTAAATATGTACTTTCAATCGAGATGTGCAGTAAAATTTCTTACATTTACTATGAATATAATCAAAAAACTCATGGTTCTCTTTCTCCTTTTCTCTGGTTATTCCTCTCTCCTCTATCGTGGAAATTCACAAAAAAATTATGTATATATATTTTTTGTTTCTCATTTGATGTTTTAAGTCCATATCGATTAAATCTGGATCGCGCATTGCAGGATCTATTCGGTGGCACTCCCAGTAAGATTTTCTCCATATCTAGGGTTCGAACTCGAAACCTCTAATAAGAATGTAGTAATTCTATCACTGCACCACAATCTATGTTGGTTATGTATATGCCTTCAATGTGCCTCAAGCAACTTGAAAGTACACACCTAAAGTGTCAAATCTAATAAATAAGGTTGTTCCCTAGTCCTTATTAAAGGCTGCCCAACAACTTGAAATTCACCACTCACACTAATAAAAAGAAATACTGGTAAAGATTTGAACAGGGGCGGCTCAAACTCGATGGTGGCCTAAGGTCAAACTCAAACTAGAGGCCTTAAAAAAAAATTATAAATATTTTTATTTTAAATCTATTTTTCTACTTTTTTTTTAGATGCAAAGTTGTTAATAATTTTTGTGTAGTCAATCTCTTCTAGTAATTCTTTTTCAATCGATAATATAGCCAAATCACTTAATCTTTCTTGAGACATTGTCGATCTTAAATAAGATTTTATTATTTTTAATTTTTAAAAACTTCTTTCAGTTAAGGCGACTGTTACGGGAATTGTTAACATTATTCGATAAGCAATGTAAGCATTTGAAAAAGAATAAAGTCTTTTTATTTGATTGAGTATCTCAATTAGAGTATTGTCTTCTACTTTTATGATTTCCCTTAACACTTTTAATTCAGAAAATAAGTGTAAACCGTCAATATCGGAGTGAGTATTATGTTTTAAGGAACATTCAAGATTAAGACAATATTTTTTTTAAATTCTCATCATCAAATGATCTCAATTTCTTCCCACTAAATAGAAAACCAAAAATATTTTCATATACTTCAAATTGTTCAAATCTATTTTGAAGTGAAAAGATGGCTTGGTCTACTATGTATAAGAAGTAATAAACTCTAAATGATTCGGGCTGCTGCAATATATTTTTCTCCAAATTTAAAATATGAATTATCAATAGAACAAGTAAATTCTTAAGCTTTGAATAAGAGAGATATAAAATTAGAATTTAGAGAAGAGAAGTGAGAATAAATAGAAGAGAGGAAGGGAGGAGGATAGAATATATAAAAATAAAATTAGAAAAAAAATAACTTGTACATTAAGAAAAAAGTACACAACTTTTTATTGGAAAGTTAAAAGGTCAGTCATAACTCATATATATCACTTCAGCCGTCTGCATTTTTTTTCCAACCGTTTGCATTTTTTTTTCCAGTTGTTTGCATTTATTATTGTCTTCATTCTAATTTTTTTTTAAAATTTAATTTTACCTAATTAACTAAAAAATGGGAGGCCCTAAAATTGAAGGCCTAAGGCCAAGGACTTTTCCTTAAGCCTAACCAGCCGCCCTTAGGATTTGAATGGTCACAAACCAATATATGATCCAGAAATTTCTTGAAAGGGTCATAACTAGTTAATATATTAATATATATATACGAATATTCTTCTAGAAAGGAATTTCCCTTAATTCTTTGTTGAGTCTATTAAATGTTCAATCAATTCAATAACTAGGACACTTTTTTTTTAATAACTAGGATACACTTTTTGTTTGAGTGAACCTCAAATTAAACTATTGTACGTTACTTCATTTGGATGTATAAAACAAAATAATTATAAGGGGAACTTTTAAATTATCATTAAAATTCAATCATCGATAAATAAATAAATATATATATATATACTATATATATGATAAAAATAAAATTACTAACTAGAAGTTAGATAAAAAGTACTAAATTAATCAAAATATTGACTCTTGATCGAACACGAATAATGTCACATAAAAGTGGAACATCCCATATATTTTTACAATGAACACAAAAATAGAAGTAAAAGATTTTGAACACTAAATACTTGCACTAGACTATACTACATTAACATTGGATCATCTTGATAACATTTTTCAGAAATAAGTTGAAGATATTCTTCATAAACCTTCTCCAACATGCTTTCATTTGAAAGATCACAAAATCCATCTAGTAGTACTTCATCAAATAACAAATTTGAAGCACAAGGAATAAATGAAACCTCTTTAATTTTACCCTCAACATTCTCATCATCATTGGTAATAACATTAATCTTCTTGTTGTTATTATCACCTTCTTCATAACTATTTGAGGGCGAAGCTATGTTGCTCGGACTCTTCAAAAATGCAGACAGGTGTATGTCAGATCCTTCAGAAATAGTGCATTTTTTAAGGACCTGACACGTTTGAGGCAACATTTTAGGTGAGTCGGAACAACATAAGGATGAATTGCTCAATAATGCAACATCTTCAACACTAGAATTCCTTATAAGTCCAGAGGAAAGTCTAATTGGCTTTGGGACAAACACAACTTGAAGGGTGTCTAAAGATTGGTCTTTTTTCTTATTATTTTTCTTCTTTTTGTCTTGTTTTTTTCTTGGATTTTCTGTTTTGGGCTTTTTCTTGGGCTCTTTTTTGGGGGAAACTTTGTGCACTTTGTGGAGTTTGGGCTGAATTCCAGCAATTTTGAGCTTCTTGATTACGTGAGTGTTCCAGTAATTCTTGATTTCATTGTCGGTTCGACCAGGTAATCGACCTGCTATGAGTGACCAACGATTGCCCAAAAGAGAATGGAGCCTTATTATAAGATCTTCTTCATCTTGGCTGAAATTTCCTCTCTTGATTCCTGGCCTTAGATAATTCATCCATCTTAACCTACAACTCTTCCCACATCTAAGTAGCCCTAAGTAATTCAACTCGATATTAATTATACAAAAATATTACAAGTAGGGGAGAAGCTACATATTGTACGACATAACTTAGTAGCTTTGGACAGATATTATATTTGTGTTAGAGCACAATAAACTATCTTTACTAGAATTTAAAATTCATAAATTTTCGTGTTTGATGGGTGGCATAAATAGAAACTAAATACTTTTTGAAAAAATAAAATTAATATATTAAAAGTTAAAAATAATATTAGCAAATTGGAGGGTGTTACAACTAAATTTTAGAGTGATATAATAATAATAATAATAATAATAATAATAATAAATGTTAATCGCAATAAATCTTATGAAGTTAAATAAAGAAAGTCATTTTTCTTATTTTGATAAATAAAAAAATCAAACGCTAAAAAAAATGACAAACATTAACTAATATTCTTAACAATGTGATTTTTTTATACATAGTGTATGAGCTTGACCAAAAGTCAATAATATTCCCATATTATGAGTATTTAAGAGCCAAACAAGATTCTAGAAACTAACTTACACACATAAAAACATAAAATGTGAAAGATATTATTCGAAATCTTTAAGATTATTAATAAATACGTCTTAAATCTTTCAAAAAAATAGTATATTTTTGAAAATCCAACACAAATACAATAATATTTGTAAAGAGTTTGACCAACGTAAAATTTGAAGTGCAAAGGCATACCAGCTTTATTGGGCAAGTTTCTCCATTGGCCTTCACCATTTTCCTTAATATAATTTGTAAGTAATAAGTCTTCTTTTGTAGACCATGGACCTTTACGAAGCCCCTCTTTAGCACAACATGGTGCTCTCCCCATTTCTTTTTGCTCACTATATAATACAAAATACTTTTATTTGGACAAAAATAAAATAGAACTTCTCAATATATATAATGAGATAAGAAATACCTAGAGACAAAAAGTGTAGACTTAAAAACGATAGACATTTAATGCATTTATTTAGTTTTTTTTTCTTTAAAATAATTGAAATGCAAGGAGTATTAGTGGTCTTCTTTGCTCCGCATGCTACTAAAAATAAATAAATTGTAGTTGAGATGGTCGGTTCATCTAAACTCAGTACTTTCGATATAAAATAAAAATTTATTGAGATTTTGTTAAATATTAGATTAGAACTTATACATATACCAAAATAATGAACTGCATATGATAACACTTAAAATTAAATTTAAATTCTGAATTCGATTCTAATCGACGTATGAGAAAAAATATATGAAAGATGAAGAAAACGCCACAAAGGTTGGAGTAAATTAAAGTCGTGCCCTTTTAGAAGCCACGAGATCCACTTCAGGCACATTAAATACTGATGGGACAAATAGAGACAATATTATGAAGTTGTTCTTTACTACTATATACTATTAGTTGGAAATATTAAGACCTAGTATATTTCATTCATATATATATATATATATAAAACGTTTGAGTTAACTACGACATTTCATCTAATTTCAGAACATATTTGATTTTATCTCTTAACGATATGAGTATCGGATGAATTTACATGTATTATGACTATTTAATTTAACAGTGTGTTCGTTATATATAATAAGTATAGATATTGAGTAATTATGTTTTGTTATTTTCTATTATCACAATTATAAGATCAACTTGCACATACAAATATTAAATCAATTTATATATATTTCGACTAATTTTAGGAAATATTATTTTACCTCTTATAAGTGGATATCAAATTACTTATTTGGGACCCCTCATTATTATTTCTTGTTTGTAGTATTCATTTATTCCTTTTGTCATAAAGGCAAATGATCATAGGGAAGAGATTGAATCTGATGAAAGAATTAATATTTAATAATACCTCTTTACCACTTGCATCATTTGGGCAAGGACTTTATACTTTAACGTCTTTTTTTGGTTGTCATGATTTTCTTTTGAGAGTTAAACGATAAGAAATTTAATTAATATTTTACGATATATTTTTCGTCATATTGATGTACAAAAAGTTGTACTTTATAGTACTTTTTGTATAGTTATTAAATATCTGAATTTTTAATTTAAAATATCAAATTAATGTAATCTAATTTAACTTTGAAAATTAGTTAAGTTGACTTTTGAAAAACGCAAGATGATAACTAATAAGGGACGAAGAGGTGTACTAATATTTCTTCTGATTTGAAGTTCTATTTTTAAAATAGTTTGTTTATTGTACTATTCATCCACAACCAAAAAAAAAAAAAGGAAAGACAAAAGAATATACATCAATATTGTAATGGTTTTTTTCTTTTTTATATCACTTTATTTTAACCTGTAATATAGTAGAAAATTATCATTTTTACCAAGTTTTCAATTGTATTTTAGTACAAAGTAGTCATAAATACTGTACCGGGCAAAGTGTTAGTCAATTAAAAATGTTCATATTCAAAAGATGGATATGTCAAAAATAAGAATACTTAGATAAATATGTAGACATATTATAGAATAGATATGATAAAATTTTATATATATACAAGCAAGATAAAATTTTAAAGATAGCATTTTTTTTTATCAAACTTTATGAGGCTACCTACTTATATTTAGTTGCTGCTATTGATAAGCTTGCAGTCTGGTTATATCATTTCCTCAGAAAATTTGGATGGGTGCTGCAATTGACTTTTCCACGTGTCTGAGTATTATTTGCTGAGAAATTTTAGTCTGAAATATAATGTCAGAAAAAAAAATTTAAAAATAAGAAAGGTTTGAGTCAAAATATTTTTTAAAAAAATACATCAAACAGTTTAAAAGATTCTAACATATATTTTGACTCTATTACATATTTTTTTTAAATACATAAAAAGTATATCATGCATAAAAATGATAGTATTGTCAGAGGGTGTGGTGGAATTATTGAATTTTTTATTACATAATTTTAGGTACGTAACGTGAAAATGGAGAAACTTTTATGAGGGAGCAATTTTTAACTCTTGTGGTGGATTTGTTAGGCATAAATTCAAATTAATCTCGATTCATCAAATCGATGAATCTCGATCCGTCAAATAGAAAAAGAAAAAATAAGAGTAAAGTTTAAGTTCCACATTTCCTCTTTGAAAAAATAAGAGTAAAGTTTAAGTTCCACATTTCCTCTTTGATCATGATTCATGGTCATATCATATTTGACAATTCTAGGACCCACAAGACTGTGACAAATCATATTATATGGAGTAAATTTGACCTCTTAATTAAGCCAAAGTAGAATAATTCAAATTAATGATGATTTGAGTAAGGGTGGTCAACAATTATATGGTCGTTTAATTTTATCCCATCGATAACTTATCTTTGCTTACCTCATAAGAATCGTTGGTTCACGCTATATACTATTTATGCGGTGAATAATAATATAAATTTGTTATATTGTGAAAAATAATATAGCCATTGTTGCATACAATTACCTTTACAATTATTCAAATATCGTTTACACTGTCAATTTACTAAATTTACACTTATTCAAGAAAGGTATAATACATAAATATATTTGGATGTCAATTACATGTATGCTCTCTAACTTTGAGTGTGCACAAATAGAGACTTAAACTTGTATAAAAATTGAACAGGTAAGCACACACATCACAAATTGTCATGTAGAATGAATGTATCTATTTGTTCAATTCCATACAAGTTTAAGTGTCTATCCAAAGTTAAAGGGCATGTTTATGTGTTATGTCTTCGGAAATAAGCTTCAAAATTTCACTCTTCTAACTTATAATAAATATCACAATTTACAGCTCAAATTCAAAAGACTAGAACTGAACAAATGAATAATGATATTTGTACTATGATTTTCATATATGTGAATAATAATTACATATATAGACTAGTATATGCTCAAGGCACAAAATGTAATATAACCTATTGGATATCATATTTTCTTTGTGTTGAAACAATTTTTGGTAACAGAGCCAAGAATTGATATAAATTTACAAGCAAGAGAGAAAGGAAAAAATCTCAGGCTTTTGTCTGTGGCAGAATTCGAAATTGCCTAATCCAGGCATTAGGCGTTGCGCTCTTACCACTAGACTGAAGATCCCCGGGGGGAGAAAGAATCTCAGAAACGAATTGGCAATCCGTGGTTGAGGAATGTTCTAATGCATCCATCCAATCCTGCGGTGACAACCACGAGACCCCACAAATGACTTGAACTCAATGCACTTTGCCAGGCACTCTTCAAGATCTTGTATTCGGATTTACATATAGAAGGGGAGACAGTTGCAGGAGGACTTGAGTCGGGTAGTTTCTCCTCTGGCCACGTTGCAGAGCTCTTTAGTAGAGAATCTAAGAAAGACGCACGTCCCAAGGAGAAGCAATCTTGTAAAGATGAAGTCTTTGAGCATGAGTTCTCGTTGACATCACCGTTTGCTAAAACATTTCCTGGTAGTGTTGTCACTGGGTTGGTTTTAAAGCCAGACCAAGGTATGGCAACTGATGCATTTTGGGAAAAGAAACTCTCAGATGAACGGACTTTCTTTGGTTGGTTAGTCACCCCATCCTCATGACTATAGTTCCAGATATAAACATTTGAATCCTCAGTGACTGCGAGAATGTGTTTCCCATCCGATGTGAATGACGCAGGACATTGGCTATCCAAATTTTTAGTTCCTGGACATGCAGCAGAGACAACTGAGTCAGAAAATCTACTCAAAAACGTCTTGTCAGAACTTGGTGGGGGACGGGGAGGTAGAGGGTACGCAACCAACACACCTTTGAATTTGCAGATGATGTTGGATCCACAAAGTATTCTAACTTGGGAATCAGCAGAAGTAACCATGACTTTGCTTGAGTCATTCGGGCAGTACTGCATGATGAAAGTCTACGTTAGTTCTCAAGAGGGGATATGATCAGTACGAGAAACCATTCTTGAGAAAAGTAAGGAAAAGAAAACAAATGGTTACCTGAAATCCAGTTACTCTCTTGTTAGTAAGCTTCTTCTTTCCTTGCAGGCATACCTGAAGGCCCATCTGCAAATGATTACCTAAACACACAGAAATGATAGTCCATAAATGTGAATTGTCTGATAGAGTAGAATGAAACAAGAAAAGTACTCCATAATATATCAGAGTAAAAATGCCGAGTGATGGAAACTCAGTTGCACAAACAGTTCACTTAAACATAAATGCATTTGAAGACAACTCAAAACAGATGGAGAACACAACTCCCTCCCCTCCATTTTTCCCTTCTCTTGCATAGCAATATTGCACTCACAAAATACATTTTTATAGTACCATTCCAGTGGTTAACTTCCTTTCTTTACTTCTCGAGCAGGACAATGAATTCTCGATGAATATTATATGGAAATCATAGCTTGCAAAGTGCAGTTAGAAGTTTACAGAAGTTAACTGTATTACAGTGATTAACTTCCTTTCTTTACTTCTCGAGCAGGATAATGATTTCTCGATGAGTATTATATGGAAATCATAACTTGCAAAGTGCAGTTAGAAGTTTAGAGAAGTATACTGCATGATTATATGCTTTTCTATCAGGATGACCTACTCTAGCAATTTAGTCAGGGGACAAAAAAGTCAGTTACCAGAATTGTTCTATTCTCAGAGCTAATATCGCGAGCATTTATATGCAAATCAGCGAGAAAATGGAAGAACTAGAAAAAAGTGTCAAGAAAAGACAAGCTACCGTACCAACAACATCATAAAAACAGCAATTGCCATCCATATATCCCACAACACCTCCCTGCACCAATCACAAGCAAGAAACTTAAATAAGTTCCAAAATCAAGTACCATCTTTAAGAAGGTTTAAAAAAAGAAGCAAGGTGATCAAACCTTTCCATCAGGACTATAACAAACAGCGGTCACTATTTCCTTTACATCAGTCCAATCAATCACTCGACAACCATGCACCTCCCAGAGACGTACTTTCCCATCTATTGAGCCACTAATGAAATAATTATCATCCATGGGATTGAACTCTACACAAGTGACTGTATCCAAGTATGACATTGGCAGATGTATGAGATAAGCATCCAGTTGAAAGTTAAGGAAAATACTTCAGCAAGATGAGTGAAAGCACAGAAATAGGCTCACCATAATTATTATGCGAATAAACACCAAGGCATTTATCATGTCCAACTTGCCAGAGACGAGCTGTTTTATCAACAGAAGATGACAGCAGATACTGCAGCAAATAATATTTGTACAAGAATTACAGTTTATTCATGTTGGATGATGTTTTATGAAGCTGTAAAATATACTCCCTCCGTTCACTTTTACTTGTCCATAATGGACTTTGCACTCCCCTTAAGAAGTAATAAATGAAGTGCATCTTTTACTTTAATGCCCATGACTATTAGCATTTCAAAAGATCTTGAAAAATGATTTGGAGAATGAGTAGTTAATAGTAAGGGTAAAACAGAAAGAAAAAAAAATTATGCTAAAGTGGACAAGTAAAAGTGAATATCTATAGTGGACAAGTAAAAAGTGGAAGGAGAGAGTATTTAGTATATTATACTGACCCCATTTTTGGACCATGAGAGGGCTAATACTTCACCGGTATGCCCACGGAACTCGTGGATTGGTTTCTCCATTATCCGGAATAACTTTGGCGGGAGCACAACACAAGCTGATTCTGATGATTTTCTCATCATTTTCATCCCATTGATTTTCTCTCTGTTGTCATTGAGAGAAGCTAATTTGGAAAAATGATTCAGTGAGAAGTATAAACAAGAGGGGTCAATATCCTGAACATTGAAGTTTTTAGACATCTCGTCCTCAATCACTCTCCAAATGCGCACAGTGCCATCTTTGCCAGCACTTGCCAAATATTGGCCACAAGGACTGAACTTCATTGTTATGATGGAGCCTTCATGTGCCAGGAATTCTTGGCCTGTGTAAAGTGAGGACAGTTCTTTTGACTCCTTCTTACTTGTTTGGACCCGAACTCTTGGAGTATCAGCCTCTGGCTTTGTCCTCACTTTGTGTAGGGTGCCAACAGTAAGTTTTTGAAGCAAACTTCTCACTTTCGTCTTTGTATTAACCATACTAAATCCCTTCATATCTCTATGGAGCAACTGTTGAACCAAAGCCGATGAGCCAAGAGTTCTTGTAAACTCTTCAATAGTGAATATCTTGTTTGTACCTACTTCACGTAGTCGGCTAAGCATGCCATCCTTGCCTAATTCATCTGCAACAAACTCTGATCCATTGTCCAGATTCCTAATTTTCCAATACATTGGATCCTCTACAGCATCCTCCTCCAATTCTAGGGCGTCATTTGACTCGAAAGATTGGGAAGATCTACCAGAGAAAAAATTGCCTTCAGCATCTGAACTTGCCAGCACAGTCTCATTGTCATCCCTAATTCTATCAGTACTTGTCTTTCTTTCATCAGAGCAATCAGATCTGTCACAATTCGAGTTCAAACCCATCCATTTCAAGAATCTATGGCGGCGTTCATCAACACTTTCAGGATCCTGAGTCCAAAATTCATATCCCAACGCACGTTCGGAAATCTCATTACGAGTACAAGCATCAGAACCATCCGAACCCAAATCAGAGAGAGAGCCAGTCTCAGCCCGTATATCAAAGAAACTATCTTCTTCAGTCTCACTGTAAGTTCCCATCATTCTTCGAATTCAACTACTCCTTGAAAGAACAGAAAATCAAATCAGAAGCCAAACTTCAAAAGCAAGATTTTTTTTTAAAATTGTCAATCAAACTGGAAAGATCACTAAAAAACAACCTATTTCTTTAATTCACACCAAAAGATATACCCAAAAAAAACAGAAAGGAGAAATCTTTAGAGTCTAAAATCCCCATATGATCAAGAATTGAGCACAAAAAATCCCCAATTATGATAAAAGAAAATATGCAACACCCATAATTAAGAAAAGAAAAAAACAGATCTTTCAAAAGGATAATCAAGCAACCAAGTCAACATGAAAATACAGTAATCAAAAAATTGAATCCCCAACAAGGTATTTAAAAACAAACTATACATAGTCAACAAAAAAACTAACATAAACATGCTTATATACTTCTACAAATTCAAAGCTAAAAAAATTTTAAAAATTGCTTACCTTAACTACCATGGACTTAATCAAACCAGCCCAAAAATTATTTCACAAAAAAAAATAGTATGATTTTTAGCATCCACAAGATGATATGAAGACAGAGAACCAAGTGGACTCAAGTCAAAAATTTCACCAATTCTTCAATTCACACCGCCAACCCAAAAAAAAAATCCACATAAACAACAAAAGGAGAAATCTTTAAAGTCTAAACTTCTCATATAATCAAGAATTGAGCCTAAAAATATGATCTTTACCATCCACAAGATCATATGAAGACTGAGAACCAAGTGGACTCAAGTTAAAAAAAATCACCAATTCTTCAAAATTCACACCACCAACCCAAAATAAATCCACATAAACAACAAAAAGGAGAAATCTTTAAAGTCTAAACTTCTCATATAATCAAGAATTGAGCAAGACAAAAATCCCCAATTATGATAAAAACAGAAAATATGCAACACCCACAACCCCAAAAATACAGATCCTTCAAAAGGGTAAATTAAAAACAGTAATATCAATCAAATTACCACCAAAAAGATAACTTGTACCTAGTCAACATAAAACTAACATAAACATGCTCATATTTCTACAATTTCAAGATAATAATAGTCAGTACAATTACCGTATCAATCAAGAAAAATAACAGATTTTTCTTACCTTATCTACCATGGACTTAATCAAAGAACCCCAAGAAATAATTTCAGAAAAAAGATTGATCTTTAACATCCACAAAATTGAAATTGAGACTGAGAAACCAAGTGAACTTAAGTCAAAAAATAAGCAAAAAAATTCCAAAAAAACAGGGGACAAAAGGGGCAGGAAAACTGGGAAATGATCTCAAAGAAATTGAAGATTTCAAAGAAAAGGGTAATGTATGAAGGTGGAAAGGTGAAAGGGAAAGAGTCACTATTCTCCTTCTTTCTTCATTATTTCTTTCTGCCTTTTTATTCACTTTCAAATGGACAGACAAAACTTTTAATATTTATCTGACGGTTTTACCCTCCGCCTTGTTGCGTCCGTCCAATTAACGGTTGTAACGAATCGTGTCATGTCTGTTAGCAACACTTAAAAAGGGGCTGTTTGGTAACTGATAAGAGTTATATGCATGTATTAGTTACGAGTAGAGGTGGACCTATATGTATTAATTTATACTAGAGATAAGTGTCAAAAACATATTTAAACTATCAATTTTTTTGAGTTCTATATATAAACTATTGAGAGTGTGAGTTTCATAATAAATTATTAATATTAATTAAAAATTAAAGTTACTATCCCAAAAATAATATTTTTTTAAAAATAAAATTTAAATTATATTTTTTACCCCACTCCACCGCCTCCTCTCCGTACCCTCCCCCCCGGACAATCCCCCGTACTTTTTAAAAAAAAATTCTTTTATAAAATATTTTTTTTTAAAATCCATACTTCACCCTCCCCCTCCCAAAGCCACCTACTCATTCCCCAAAAAAAGTTGATATTATTTTATATTTTTAAAAAAAAAAATCTACTCCATCCTATTTAACCCTCCGCTCCTAATTTTTATTTTTTTACATTTTTCTTGTTGTTACGTATATTTTTAAGATTTTTTTTCTATTTGTATACTGAATATAACATAAATAAAAAAATTATTTTAGAAAAAGTATTGCGGCGGCAAGTTATTTTTTTTCCTCTTTATATTATATATATAGTAGGTTTTCAATATTTTTGTATATATACTAATTTTTAACCACTTTAATCAAAGAAGATAGCCCACTGGTACTAGACTGTGCAACTTAGGTTGCAAATATTATCTCCAATTTGCAAGTTCAATTCGAGTGAAAATCTTGAATCCTTCGTTGGTTACGCGCGGTTTATTTCTATCCAACATAAAATAATATTTAAATTTAGGTTTTGAAGTAGCAAATTAAATTAATTATTAATTTTATACATGAATAATTTACTTCTTAATTATTAGTATATACCAAACTTGTTACTATTACTTATTCAAGATTTAATATTTGCACCTTTAAATCAGCTATCAAACAATTCATTATGGTATTGTTTAAAACAAAACAAAAAACTTATTATGTTGTATAATTATAGAAATTTCTGGCGGATCAAATTTACTAAAAAAAGTTAATAAAGAAATAAAAATACTTGTGTAATTTTCGGATATATGTATTCCTTTGCACCCTCTAACTTAGCTCCTAATAAATAGGGATATTAAAATATTACTTTCATTATTTGTTTTTTTGTTTTTTTTTAATTATTATTATTATTATTATTATTATTATTATTATTATTATTATTATTTTTAGTCTGTTTCAAAAAATCAAATAACATGTTTGAAAAGAAATAGAAAAATGATGACTTTATTTCGTATCGTCGCAATTATGTTTGAATTTATATAAGATTATAAATTTAAATATTCAACCAAATTGGTTCGTATAAAATTATAAAATGAAATGGAGGAAGTATTCGTATATACAAAGACCAAGTTAGTTTATATGTTGGTTCCTTTACATAACTTAACGTATAATTCACATTTTTTAAAAGTTATACAAAGAATACCATAATTATATATAATTATTATGATTAAATATGTTTGGTAAGATCTAGGACTTCCTACCTACTTTTATGTTATGACAAAATAAATCAAATGGATTATAATACATTTGCATAGCATGGTAATTGAAATAAATTTGTATAAGTAATAATTGATATTAATAGATTTTATTTAAAGTACGTATTCATCAAGTTATCTACTAGAAAAGACATGAAGTTTTGGTTGTTAAAGATGTAAAAAGAATTTTAAAAAATAAGTCGCTTTTTAATTAGAGAATATATAATGTGCTTTAAATTTATAATCTCATTAATATTGTCGTTTTCAAGTTTGAATAAAGCGGAAGGATTGTTGAAGGAGCGAGGGTCGATCAGAAATAGTTTTTCTAGTCATTCATAAAAATAGAGATACAATTACATACATTTTATTCTCTCCCGACTTATAAAATTACATTAGATTTATTATTATTATTGGTGTTTTAATTCTAATATTATCAATTTATCATGATCAAGATGAAAATTATTTCCTCTTTAAGAACTATTAAAAAACTGACTGGAAAAAGTCTATGAACTTCTCCTCCTAAGAAATTATTTAGAACTTGACATGCATATATTATAAATTGATTAATAGTAACAATAAAAATAATAATTTTAACAATTAGTCCACCATTGGGAAGGAAAGTCGATTATAGCTATTGTCACGTGATATGAAAGTTATTGAGCTTCTAATAAAAATGCAAGATGAAGCTACGTACAATAAATTTTTATGATTTGATCATTTTTTATATTTTACGTGTATTGAAAATTCAGTACATCGAACTGTCACTTTTAGTTCCACCATTTGATGACTTCTCTTTTTTTTAAAAAGGATTTGACTATTCTTGCTTCTTTGAACATCCATTATATACCCTATTGACTTATTCTATACGTCGTTTTCTTTCTTTCTTCTTTTTATTTTATTTTATTTGTTTTGTTTTGTTTTCATATAGTTATTTGTATGGACGGCATTGTCTTAGGAAAATTCCAGATTACAAAAAAAATTAAAATTGGGGCCTCTCTAATTATTCAAAATACTGCATTATGACCTTTCATTTGTCATGTTTCCATAGTATGTTCAGCTACTTTTTATCAAATTAAACGTCACTCATTTATTCTATAGGGTGTGTTCGATTCAAACAAAAATATTCTTCGTAAGATATGATATGATCTTTTCACTCTTAATTAAAAGCTTACGATTTGAGCTAATATAAATCATGTTAGGAAATATTTTCCCTTTAAATGATCTTACGCAACACGAATCTGAATTAATTGAAGCTTAATAGGGATGCTTGACACCATATGAAAAATCAAAGGATAGGGTGGGATCAAGGTGGATCGTGTGGGTGGGGGGATCGGTGGGGTGGGGTAGAACGCATGGGAGGGGGGTGTGTGTGGGGGAGGTTTGAGAGGAGATAATCAACCGCGAAAAATGTTATTTATAAAACTTGTCTCGTTATATATTAACTAAAAAAAAAACATTTTCTTAACTTTTAACAAATTTAGTTTTATAACGAAAAATATTTTGATTGACGAAAATGAGAAAATTGAATGACATAACATGAAGAAAAAAAATCCATACCAAACACACCCTTAAACTTTATAATCAAAATAAAAGACAGATTGAGAAATTTGACCAACAATTTACACAAGTGAGAATGACGTGATGAAGAGTTTCCAATAGAGGGGGTAATGCCACCAATTTATATTAAAGCATATTATATTATTGTATAATTTACGTAATATATAATGAGTTACTTTAAAAGATAATGTAAAATAATTTTGACTTGTTGCGTAAAACAATTCAAAGATGTTCTTGAATATGATACAATATTGTTTATTTTAATTTGAACTAAATTCATGTGTTTTTTTAAAAACAATCTCATATTATTAATTAAGAGTTTTCTTACATCTTATATGTGTTTCTCTTCTTATTTTTTTCCATCTACTAATATATTTTTGTTCGTACATCCACTAAAGCTTTATATTACACATCACTTTGTGGACTTATATCAATCAAAACTGTATGGCCATCAAAGCATACTGATTTCTTTTTGTGTACGGTTCTTTATAGCTACGAGTAAAGATAGTAAACTCATGACTCTATCATTTTTATACACGTCTCATTAAATCGTTAATTCTAATAGTAATTAAATTAAAATTACTTAATTTTCGATATAATATGATATGATATAATTAGATTTAAGCCAAATCCGCACTATTCCCATAAAAAAAGCTTCACACAATTATGAATTTCCTTATATCTTAAATATATATATAAAATAAAGTTATCGATATAAAATTTTGTTCGTGTATCTAACACGATCCATTGAAATAAAAAAATGTAGAATATGATATGATTTAACATATATCATCTACTCATTACCAGTCCGGAGCTTAAAGGGCAAAAAAAATTGTCAAAAATTCCAAAAGGGCACATCACTTTTTATTCTAATCAAAAGGGCAAAATCGCTGTGTCAGCAACGATTTTCCTCTGACAAAATCGCTGCCACAGCAGCGATTTTGTAAACTTTTTTTTTTTTTTTAAATAAAAATCGCTGCGATTTTGTAATTTTTTTTAATTAAAAATCGCTGCTTTTTCTTTAAAAAAACTAAAACGGCACATCAAAAAAAAAATTAACCAAAAGGGCTTCTGACAAAACAAAAAAAAATATCGCTGCATATTTTCTCAAAAAAAAAAAAAAAAACTTTTTTTCTTCAAAATCGCTGCTATAGCAGCGAATTTGGTTAAGAATTTTAAAAAAAAAAGTTTTTTTTTGAATTTAATATTCTTTTATTATTATTTATGATATATAATTCAATTTTCCTCATGCTTCAACAATTTTATTGAGTATACTGTCGTCTTGTTTATCATTTTTATATTATTAATAAGTAATAATAGGCATGAAAATAATAGCACTCGGCATGAAAAACGCTGCCCCTGCAGCGATGTGTAAGGAAAAAAAAAATTCTGACTTAAAATCGCTGCCACAGCAAAAAAATAATAATTTTTTTTTACACTGGCAACGATTTTTAATAAAAAATATTTTTTTATTTTTTTTTACAAAATCGCTGCTGTGACAGCGATTTTTAATAAAAAAAAGAAAATTTTTTTTAGACGAAGCAGCGATTTCGTCAGAGGAAAATCGTTGTTGACGCAGCGATTTTGCCCTTTTGATTAGATAAAAAAGTGATGTGCCCTTTTGGAATTTTTGACAATTTTTTTTGCCCTTTAGGCTCCGGACTAGGGGTGTGCATTCGGTTTTTCGGTTTGGTTTTACACTATTCGGTTTGGATTTTCGGTTTTTGGTTTTGTAAAAATATAACCCAATCCGATCCAAAATAAATTTG